AACACATACAGTGAGAGTTCAACTGTAAACTCCCTCTTCAGAGCAAATTTCCTCCCTGATTCAAATTCTGTCACTTTCTCTTTGACATTTTTGGCAACTTCTTGCAAATAAGTTGAACTGTAGCCTCTTGTAGCTAGAGGTTTGTTCTTGATTGTATCAAGTGACTGTTTTTCAAGATTATCAATCAGGGATCTGATCAGTTGTTGATCTTCATGCTGAAAAGTCCCCTTAAAGTATCTTAATACTTTTATAGTTTTTTCTGAAACAGAGTCAACAAATTGTCCAAATAGCCCCTTTTCTCTTTTGTCCCCTTCCCTCTCTTGAGGCTGTTGGCTTTCGTCACAAAGCTCCTGATACTTGGTGAGTGTCACATAATGAGAGTAATCACCAGCCACTGATATATTTTTGTATCTGCCACTTTTTTTGGATTTATCAATAAGATCCCATTCAAAACCAAGCTCATGAAGGATAGTTGACTGATCTTCCTCCAAGTTGATGTCTTCAATAGGTTTTGTATCTGCAGTTAGTTCTCTCACCCAGTCTCTCCAAACAAAGTCAAACTGCTGTTTAAGTTCCTCTTCATCTTGTGTCTTGTCTTTTAACTGACGAGCGAGCTCTTTGCTCTTCTGTAGCAGCTTGTTCTCAAACTCTGTCTTTTGATCATCAAGCTTTTTACAAGCCGTCTTCTGCTGGATAACTTCATCCAGTTTTCTTTTCACTCCTCTCACCTGTTCATCATGAAACTCCTTGATTTTTTTTTCAAATGTGCCTCGCCACTGAACCAACATTTCTTTGTCTCTGTCATCATCAAAGTGCTTTGACATTTCTTTTTGGATTTCTCCATATGTTTTGCTCATTTCTTTAGAAAGATAACTGAACTCAACCTTGTCAAGTTTTCCATTTGCAATTTTGGTATGAAGCAGGTTTTCAATGGTCAACATGTTGCTCCTCAGAGCCCAGGTCCAGTTCCCGTACTGAACCTCAAGGTTTCTGTACACTTTAATTTCAAGTGTGTTTTTGAAACTGAAAACAAAGTTTTCATTCAACAGGGCTTCCCACAGGTCATGAATTTTGCTTTTGAACTGAGACAGAGTAATCACATCAGACTGTGAAGCTTTAGAGAGGATGAAGTTCTTCAGCTCTTGGATGCTCTCACTATAACCTGGATTTGGAGGAGCCATAGGTGGACTTCCCTCCCAAAGCTGGGCAAAGTATTTCACATCTTTTTGCACATCAAATGCAATGATGTCACTGAAACACTCTGCATCACAAACCTCCTCTTTGGCAGCTAGTTGGGTCATCTGGTCCAGTTTTTCTTGCAGGCGTCTCTTTCCCTCCATGTTTTTCTCTGCAGCTGAAATATCTGTCACATTCTGGTGAACAAACACACAACTTGGAGAAAGTTTGACTTTCTTCATCCTCATGAAAGCCTGAACAACAATCTGCAGAACATCTTGCATCTCAGCTGGATTCTCTCCAAAGATGTTGATCAATGTCATGTTTCCCAGACCAACAACAAATGTTGCCAGTTCATTGTCGTGGTTAAGAGCGGCGCTACCTGCTAATTCAAGAGCACGCAGTCCTTCAGTGTCCACCACCAGCACAAAGTCAAACTTAAAGTCTCTCTTCATCTCCTCTGACACTTTGATCAGCTGCATGAAGGCACCCTTGGTGCATCTGCCAGCACTCACTGCAAACTGCAACCCAAACATGGCATTCAGCATTGTTGATTTTCCACTGCTTTGTAAGCCCAAAACTGACAACACAAACACTCTCTGGTCACCCAGTCTCTTGATGACTTCCTCTAAAAGACTAGAGATCCATGTCAAAGGCACATGACCTGCATCACCATCCATCAGCTCCATGGGGTGTCCTGATATCATCAGTACCTTCCAGGTCTGCAGCCAGCCTGTCATGGGTGATTGATGGACTTCCGAGTTGGAGTCTGACCCCTCGATTTTGAGTTTGGTTTTCCTGCAGAGAGATTCATGGGCTTCATCAGATCTGCCCCATTTCTTCGTAAAGGATGTGCTCCAAGCCAAAAGTTGCTGATTGGTATGGTTTTTTTGATATTTGTTCAAGCTCAGTCGTGTTTTCTTTTAGGCAGATCGAGGTTGTGTCACGTTTGCTTCTTCAGGTCATCAAGACCTCTAGACCAGCTTCTTATCATATGGCTGTTGGAGAGATTGACGTGAGATCACTGCGGAGGGGCGTCTAATGTAAGATCTGAAGTCCCATTTCAGGAAATTACTTCTTGTGTCTGTTGATGGCAAGATGAGAGAACTTTCAATGAAACAACTTCACCAGTTCACTACAGGAAGCATCATAGTTGTTTTTCTCGTATTTTCATCAGTTCCTGTTGCTTTTCACTTTTGTCCTTCTTCAACGTTTCCTTTGAGGTGATAGCAGTTCTTTCTTTATTCCTGCACCATCTCATGCCCACAGTCGGCCATGACAAGGGAGGAAGCTTAATCTTTGATTGTCTGGGAATTTCCATCCCCTGAAGTAACATTCACTGTGTACCAATAGCAGCAGGAGAGTTTCCTTTTTGGCAGACTGTGTCTTCTTCATGGCCAGCTCTGATCCCAGAGACGCTCGGCCATGGTTTTCAAGCATGGAGAAGATGTGGTATGTGGAATCCAGACAAGATCTCTCTAATGATCCTTTTCAGTTCTTCAGAAACATCTGACTGGCTTCTGTCTTTTAGACCTCATTTTATATTTCCCTTTTTCATCTGAACTGCAACACGATCATTATCATTAATGAGACAAATCAGAGGCTTTTTGGAGACTTTCACAAGATCTGAGAAACACAGCCCAACTTTTGTCACCTTTTTTCAGAGTTGGTAACAAGAACAACATTGACTGAAGATTTTTCAGTCAGTAATCTTACCGTTGTTTTTCAATCGACCAGAGCGATCACCATGAAGAATTACGAAGGCAGTGCAGGTCAGTTGAAGGATCGTTGGGCTTGTCCAGCAGGACAGTGACCAGGCATCTCTGCCACCCCATCCAATCAAAAGGCGAGCTCTGGTGCTACTGGGCAAGTTTTTCTGTGGAAGAACGGTGTTGTGTGACGCTCGTTGTGATCAAAGTGTTCAATTCGGCTGAGATTTAGTACACTGACAGTTGAGGACCCAGGACGAGAAAAATGACACCATCGGGGTGTCTCAGCTTTGCAAGCTGGGGAACTCTTTCAGGTGTGACAGATTGTTTAGATCACCCTTGATTTGAGTTGTCTTCCAGGTTTTTTCTTATATTGTCTGAATATGTCCACAGAGGACACTCAACATCAGTGTGACTGGGTCAAGGACAAGGCAAAGGTAAGGGCGTACTGACACTGTGACAGCTTTGTCGAATCATGTTCTGCTTAAGGGAAGCTGTCTGAGCATGTGAAATACCTGTCTTTTGAAACGTCCAGTCGGATGAACATGAAGTCTGTTTTGATTGATCACAGTCAAACGTCTGTATCCAAAAAAGCATCTAAGTCACTGTCGTCTATCTCAACAGTTTCAGACTCTGCAATAGGATTTGAAGTGGCTGCACCTCCAGCTCTGTGTTGTCTTACAGGAATATATGCTGGTCTCTGTAATCTAACATCATCAACCTCTGAGAGAAGGTTTGAGCTAGCTCTTCCTCAGATGTTTCATGGTCCTGTTTCACTGGTGGAACTGATTTTAAGAAAATCTGCTGGGAACGCAACTTCTGTTTGGTCCTTGAAGGTAAGTCTGTGAAGCGTGTCAAGATGATTTCGCATAGTCTTCTTTGTCTTCCCTGTTTCTTCTCGTGTCAGAAATCTCCACTGATTGCTGGAAATACAAAGTCAAATAACTGTTTATTGTTTGTAAATTAAATGTATCACACATGCGTATATTAAGTAAAAAGTCCCTCAATTTCTTGTGAAATAAATTTGATTTTCTGAACCTTAATCCTTGTTTCCACTCGATATCCACATCTGGGTGCGCTGCAAGACAACAATGGCCAGAGAGTTATGAATGAATATGTTGTTTAATATTCACTCTAAATGATTTTGAATGTTAGTTAGTTGAGTAATTTATGGTGAATTTGGAGGTATTTTTTTTTATTGCAAAATAAATAATTCTTCAAATTATTTTCTCACATGTTGCAGATGTACACAGTCTTTGATTTTCGAACTCTCCTCCTCTCGCTGTGTTTGTCATTCTTCTTCTCTGAGTGTTTTCCATCATTAACTGAGTCACACTGAAAAACAGGTGATTTAATTCAATTTTAATCTTAAAATAACAGGTTACAACCATTGAGATTTAAGAACACAGGTGGTACACTATTCAGAGTACAGAAAACCAAAAATAAAAGTAAGGGAAAAACTAAAAGTGTAACAATGTAGGTTTTGTATTTTGAGGGCAGAAGAAAGTAAAACCTCTTCAGTAAAAGTATCTTTCAGCTTCAACGCATCCCAAGTGTGCAAACCAGGAGCTTTTGGTGGAGTCAAACACTGTGCAAATCTAAAGTAAAGGCAAAAGCTCCAATCTTTAATTTAAAGCTACACGATGCTCATGATAGATTTAAACCTCAACTCATAAAAAACCCGGAAGCATTCGAAACAGAAATGTTGCTGTATGACAGTAACTACAGACTACTTTACCTGTGTTTGTAGCTGCTCTCTCCGTCCAGGTGATCTACTGTAGTGCTCTCTCCCTCCAGACTGATTTACTGCAAGGTATGTAACAGGATCAAATATAAGGAGGATTAGTTTCTGGTCAGTTAACAATTCCAGGTTAAATAAGATCTTTTAAATTATGTGAATGTCAAAAAATATGTACAAGCTATAATTTTACAATCTTTCATTATTCAACAAGACCTACTGTACTCGCTCTCAATAGAGATAATATGGTTTGAATTGAATTTTGCATACAGTATATGAAATAAAAACAAAGGAAATTAAGTATTTCTCACATTTCTTGGTAAACTGTTGAACACAGTCTGAGCTGTTGAACTTTCACTAAGTAGTTGGTTCATGTATTTTTATAACACTGTGTAAACTGGGGATATCTCTGAGCAGTACGCAAGATGAGAGAAAATTAGTTTAAGGCTAATCAGCAGCTCTACAATGACATGAGACCATTTTTAAATAGTAAAATATTTTGGTTCATTTATGAAAGCTGTGTTTCATAATGGGACTAATTCCGGTGGTGGCCAATGTGGCTCAGGACGCATTCATGTTCACACTGCTAATTGAAAATGAGACACATGTGGTCCAGACCCACCTTAGAATGTGGTCTGAGGTGATCGAATCCAAATGTCCGTTCAATACTTCTTGGGTGAGTTTCACAGCTGAACTCTAGAGCTGTCACTTGTGATCGGCTCACCGGAAGACAGATGTTAATACCAGGTCTGAATGGGGCATTACAGGGCCCTATATGATCAGAAATTATTAAAATCTCACCTGTTTGGACTGTTGAACACTGAGGTGCCGTCTTTTCTGTCTTGTGGGTTTTGTGGTCCACGTCCTTTGGTTGTATCGTATTCCTGCTCTGGATGTTCAGCCTCCACAGGTTCCTAAAGGAGTTTTAAATCAAAACGCAACCGGACATGATTATTTGTCTAAGAAGACGTTTTCACCTCTCATCCAAGAGGCTTTCATCAGTTCGTGTACCATCTGACCAGGCCTGGGACCTGGTCTAACTTTCCCTGGTGTGGAGACCCCAAGTATTTAACCCTCTTGTGGGCCGTTCACAAGGCTGATGGATGTCATTGGTTTCTGTTGTGCTCCAATGTGTCAGGACGAAACACAAGGTTCAGTCACTGACATCAGACTAATAAATTAAAATATTGAATTTTTCATGTAACGATTAGAGATTCCAGGTCAGAGCCACTGACATTAAAGTGTTTTCAATCAGGAAACCAAACACTAAGAAAAGTGCATCATTCTGCGCCACTGAAATGTTAGCAGGTCTGACCCAGTAAGGATTCCCTGTTGTGGACTTTCAACATTAGGTGACCAAGGTGGTTATTCAGAACGTGAGACCAGCGCCGGTTTAAACTGTCATCACATTAATGTGAAGGTGTGCATGTCTGCAGGTGGGATATTAATGTAATAAAAAGCTTTCTTTGTTTTGGTGGAGTTAATTCATCCACTGCCAAAACATGAACAGGCAGCTCATGGAAATGAAACCCGGCTCAGTTTTAGAGAGATAAACATCATTTCAAAATGGTCTGATGTTTGGACAGTGTGGACCACTGTGTGTGTTGCTTGAAAAGTTTTTATAATTTCAGATTTAGGGAAGGATTCCTTGTGGCAAATGCTAATGGTGCCTTTAAAAAGGGCATACTGTAGAATAAATACAGCTGTATAGATGGTGACTGATCTTTACCTTGGTTTGAGCTGAACTTTCTTCCAGCTCATCTACTGACGGTCATGTAAGAAAAAACAGATTGAACAGGAATCAGCATAAAAACAATATGTGGTTTGTCAACAATTCTTAAATTATGATTTTTATATTGTCAAACTTTCAATTACTTTGTCATCTGTCAACAGATGATATTACAGATTTGATTTCAGACTCTCCTCCCTCCTCCTCCTCCTCCTGCTGCTGCTGCTGTGTTATCATGGGTTCTCACCTCCCTCTCATCCAGCGCTCCATCTTTATGTTATAAGACAGAGCCATTCAGACCAAAAGTGATAATTAAACATCACTGGAAAATATGCACGCACCATTGCAAATGTTCCTCAGAAATTATATGGATCAAACAGAACATAAAACCTAGTTCTTCTCTCGTGAAAGTGAAAGTCTAACATAATACTTTTGGTCACATCTTTGAAGATTTTAACTGCAGGAGAAAATGTTTGTAAATATTGAAAAACTTTTTTCTCTTAAAATAAAATGCAAGTGAGAATTTTCTCTGTGTATTTTTGCTGAAAATTTAAAAAGTGAGCAAACATGACATAATTAAATTGCAGTGAATAGAGAAGGGAACTGAAGCTTAGTGGAAGTTTCAGTCAGGAAGAGCTGATGTCCTCCTGCACTCCTTCCGAGTCTAACTATAATCATCCACCCCATTGTTTGCTCCAATTCGTAATTTGTCAACATCTATTCCTTCTGTTCACAGTGAAATTTTATTTTAATTTAAATTTTCTTCTTTCTTCTCTCTTAAATGTGTCTTTATCAACCAGCATGCATGTCACAGCCAACCCCTCCTTGTGAAAACTAACACACTGTGTCTCAGACAAACTGCTGCTTGAACTGCATCAAAATTGAGAAGATAAAAAATATTTTTCCACATGGCGTTTAGAATGATCAGCACATTCACAAAGTAGAACTTCCACTTCTGTTAAATACAGTTTATACTGTAATTAGCGATGTTTAT